ATTTTCAAAGATACATTTTGTCTACCACAAGAACTCTCACTTATTAGTATCATAAAAAGATGCTCTCTGTGTGCAAAGAAGTACTCGACTCAAAGCTTATGGACCGTTAATAACTTCGTGATTGTGCGGATGGCTGATGCACTTACGGCTTTTGATGCAGTAAAGTTGCAGAGGATACTAGTATATTCGAACCTTGTTAATAGACCTTGTTAATAGATAAACGTGAGAATCCAAATTTCAGAACCAGGCTAAAAACAGATGACGAAATATCGTGTTTAGGCTTCAGGACATGATACAAAAGTTCCCACACTCGTCTTCGAAATCTCCAATCGAGTACTCAAGATGTTCGAAAAGTATTCTGAGCTGTTCTAATCTGTAGCATTCATTCTGGTGAATCTACATTCTTTGGCACCCTCCAACATTTATGATGTGTATTTACTGTCAAGGTTGTACTGAAATTACAAGGTAGAAAACTAGTAGGTATCGACAATATGAAGAATAAACTTAAATAAATCAAGTGAAAACAAGAGAGAATCTATAGCGCTTCTTGCGTGAATACAACCAGTGACGTCACAAGGTCCTTAAACTCGGTTCCAGAGCCTAGACACAGTTTTGCTCCAAAAAGTCAATTTCAGCAGCTAAAATAAGCACTTACCGTTAGGACTTGACAGAAGTAAAGTTCACCATTATTTTAAGCACGTTTGAAAGTGTAAATTGGGCTAATAAAAGAGAGTACGAAAATTTCATTTCAGTGGCACTTTAAAGAAACGAGATACCAATCGATTGCCCATTAGTAATATAATGTACTGATATTTGATGGAAAGTTTGGCTTTTCTTTTACTCAGTTCACTGATAAGCCTGCATTTACAAGGGAATTTTCTCTTCACTGATAAACCTGCATTTACAAAGGGAATTTCATTGTCATAAATACGTTTTCTTGGGATGGTGGTAACAGCCCATCTTAACAGGTCATTAGAAAGTCACTAAGTCATTACATGTTTCCTGTGCATGGTCAAACCTTACTAGCAGGGTTTTTAACCAGAATGCCCTTTCCTACATGTATCTGACTGGATTGCTGCAGTATGTTTTTTAAATATTAATTCTTAAGACCTGATTAATTAGTTTACTTTTATATGGAACCCCTTTACAGCATTTGTGTAAAGTT